AAATGAAGTTAGCCCTACGAGTAGACCTGCCTCGGTTTCGGTAGAAGTCCCCAGGTACTCGGGAGACCGATGGTCTTCTGACCACGGTATTAAGAACTTCACAAGGCTTCCTTCTCCTACTCCCAGCTCAGGAGGAACAAAGGAGCAGCAGCCATTTCAAGTGGCTGCATCGTTCTTGCACAATTCTTCACTTGTGCAACGCTCTGAAAACGACTCGTTACGCTCGCATTCTGGCCTGAATTCAGCGGAAAAGGGCACGGGTTTAGGTCCTATGAATGTGCTTCAAAATCATCATTCTCAGCCAGTAAGACAATCACCTATCATGGGTGATGCTTCGGTCTATCCAGCTGCAGATATCAAAAGCATTAGCGCAAATCTTCATTGTTTAGTACAATCCATCAACAATCGTAATACTCCTATGGAAGCTCAAGGACATGGGTCTAGCGCTGTTCAGAATGCACAATCTCTCAAACTTGAATCAAACCTTTCTTCTAGCATGCCACCAGCACAAACTCTTCCGAGTCGTTGGGGGGAGATGTCCCCTGCTACGTCGTTCAGTGCAGGAAGTTCAACCACGAGTTTCTCCATGCCTGGTTTGACGAGTTTTCCATCCTCGGACCCTTGGCGATCTACGCCTCCTATTCCCAGTAACCCGCCGCACATTCAGTCTTCAACTCCAGCCAATCTACCTCGGGGAATGGGTGCTACAGATGGCCAAAGTACCATTCCACGACTGGGCTCGGAGACTCCGAACCCAGGCTGGGGATCAATGCCAAACATGGGTCGAGGTTCAATTGCAGCACCTCCAAATGCTACTGCTGGTATGATGTGGGGAACTGCTCCTCCTCCTACAGGTACAAACCCAGGTTGGATTGCTCCAGGTCAAGGACCACCAACCGGAAACATCCAAGGATGGTCCGCGCACGGCCCAATGCCACCTCCAGTAAACGCAACTCCGGGATGGGTTGCCCCCAGCCATGGACCAATGCCACCTATGAACATGAATCCCAGTTGGCCCGTCCCGTACCCGAATCAGAACATGTGGGGTAATAACGAGCACAGTAGAAATGGGGATAGATTCTCGAATCAAAAGGACGGTGGCTCTCACAGCGGAGATCCGGGGAACGGAGGTAAATCATGGGGGATGCAACCATCTTATGGTGGTGGTGGTGGGAGTTCTTGGTCTCCTTATAATAAAGCACAAAAACTGTGCAAATACCATGAAAGTGGACACTGCAAGAAAGGAGGTGCGTGTGATTACAGGCACAACTAGAATGCATTTAGTTAATATTTGACTGACAGTCATTAGAGATCTCAACTAGTTTTGTATAGTCCTCTTATTAATGTTATACATGTGATGCTTTTGCTGTTATTTGTTCTTCAAGTTTCATTTTTCGGTTTTGAGCTTCATTTTTTATTATTCTTTCGTCGGGATTTTTAGTTGGGTTAAATTACAAGTTTAGTTTTTAAACTTTAAAAATGTTTATCGAGTTCATGAACATTCCATTTTGTACTAAAAAATCTCGATTAATATCGCCTAAGATCTTAATTTTGTAATTAAGTGTAATTTAAATGTTTATTAGGTTCATGAACTGGAATATGTCAAAGATTTATTAATCTAAACTTGTTAGATTAAATTTATCATTAAATTATTGTTTAGTATTTTTGATATTCTCAACCGAAAAAAACAATAACTTGTAACCATTTTCCTTTTTGGATTATGATAAGGTAAAAACCCCTTTTTCGTATTTGTATTTTGCATTAAAAAAAATTATATTTTTTAATTTTTAATTTCATAGATATAATTATTTAGTTTTAGTATGTAATAATTTAATAATTATACTTTTAAATTTGTAATAATATTGTTCCGATCGTAAATGATCTCAATTTTATTATGTAACGTGATCATTACATTTTATAAATATGAAGAGTTTTATAGTTATTGTCCATGATATTAGAGGCCCGATAAAATACCCGAGAGCGATAAGGTGACCACTCGTGATAGAGAAATTTGAATTTTTAACATTATTAAAAATATAACTCGTAAATAAATAAATAATATATATGCACATATATAATTGAAGATTTAATTATATGGTTGTTTTTGGGTGGGGGGGGGGGGGGGGGGGGNGGGGGGGGGGGGGGGGGGGGGGGGGGGGGGGGGGGGGGGGGGGGGGGGGGGGGGGGGGGGGGGGGGGGGGGGGGGGGGGGGGGGGGGGGGGGGGGGGGGGGGGGGGGGGGGGGGGGGGGGGGGGGGGGGGGGGGGGGGGGGGGGGGATGGTCCATAAAGTTTGGGCCCATAGAGGAAAAGGGAAAAGGACAGCTCCTCCTCCTAAGAGCCCAAAACAGAGAGTGAGAGCCCATAGCTCCATCATGACGTGGCCATGTCCTCAATGGGCCCCACCTCCCCACGTGAAACCCCCACCTCACTACAGCTCATCCCTTCTTTTTCAAGAAAACCTACCCATTTTAATTTATTTATTTATTAAAACACCCAAACTTGTTCTATTTTAATTTAGATAAATATTAAAATTTAGTTATCATCCTTTAAATAAATATTTAAAAAATTATTTATACGGTGTAAATGGGCTAATTTTAATATTTATGGAAAAAAAAATGTGAACTAAAATTACAAATTTTAAAAATATAAGAACTAAAATAATATTTTAACTGTATTTGATTTATATTTGTAATACACCATTAACATTAACTTTTTTAAAAAATTCATATAAACTTAGTATTTAATATTATTTAACTTTTTTTAAAAAAATTAACTTAAAATTATAATCTTTTAAATAAAAATATTAAATAGGTCAATAATTTATTAAAAATAACTAAAAAGTCAAGGATTTATTAAACAAAATCGTAAAAATTTTGGAATAAATCTAAAATTTAACCTATATTTTTTTAGATTAGATTAAAATATTGTTAGTTAAAACAAACCTATCTTAATTTATCTTGCTTTAGGCCCACAACCAAACATTTTACCAATTTTAATTATCCATTTTCAGGTCACCCTTCCTAATCCCACTTTAGAGTGCTTAAAAGGTTTTCCTTTTTATAATATATAAATGGTAAATTTTGCTCAATTAATTAAATCATATATTTTTAATCAAATAAATACTATAATAAAATCTTTAATTCATATTTTGATTTCATAAATTTTATGTTTATGTTTATTTTAATTTTGAAAATTTGTTCTATAAAAAAAAAAAAAAAATCAATATTTTAATTTTTACCATTTTGTGTAATTTTTACAGTACCATTTATTAAATTAACCAATATTTTGGTCGATGATATATGTTTTTAATTAATTGAGTTAATTTACGTGTGGAATAAAGTTTTGAATTTTTTTGACCAATTTGTCAATAATATATGTTTTTAATCAGTTGAGATATTAGAGTTCGTTTGGGTATAGAAGTGGGTTCGGAATAAAGTATTTTTTAAAAGAGTGAGTTGAAGTACATTGGTACATTAGAGTAAACTCGAATGTAGACATGAATTTAAAAAAACGTCCTACGACCTAAAATTAAACGATAATAAACAAAGTCGTTTATGGAATGCTTTGAAAGGATACTTTCTAAATTTACATAAAATTAAGGAAATAAAATAATAAAAAATAAATAAATCAAAGACTAAAATATTCGGTGGTTGAAGGAGTACTTTTTTGCTGGCAACCAAATTGAATGTGTTTTATTTTTTATTTTTTCTTGGATTTTTAGAAAATAAATTAATTTTAAAAAATTCCTAATTTTTAAATTATTTAATAATTATTGGGGTCGTGAGTGCACGTCTCGAGGAGATTAATCGGAGGAGATGCAGGGCGGCGCGTGGTAGCGCGTGGATAAGTCTGGCCGCCGGGAATATTGTGAAAGACGAAAGTAGCCCCACGTGGGATCTGGAACATGCTTGTACCAATCACGTTACATCTGCCCCTCGAGGTCCTACGTGTAAAGTGCGCGGTGGCGGACCCCACAATCACATGGCAATGGGAAACTCTCCGCCGTGCGTCTCCCGTTTTTTCTCTTTCTCTGCTGTATTTCTTTTCAAGTAGATTTTTAAAAATAAAAGTTTAATTATGAAAATTACTCCTTAATTTTTTAATTATTTAAAAAATACCCAACTTTTAAAACTAAAAATTAGTTTTATTTTTTATAAATCTTTCAAAATAATTATAATTTCATATTAAAATTATACTTAATTTTAATTTCAATTTTTTAAAAGTTATTAAAAATTAGATTATTTATCAACAAAAACCACTTAATATTTTATTAAAAAAAAAGGGAAAATCACTCAATAATTTATTCATAAACAACAAATATGATCACCATACCATATATATAATTATTAATACATGAAAAAAAAAGTGTCATAATTGACACGTAGACGTAGATAATTATAATCATTTAATTAAATTTAACATATTAATCATTTAATTAATTATAATCCTTTAAATCTAAAAAGTCTAAATTAAAAATAAATAAAAATTATACGGTAAATTTACTATAATATTTTAATATTTAAATTTAGAAAAAAAAATTAAGTAGGGTCGTTAATCTCATAAGTTTAAGGCGCACCTATTAGAAAAAAAAAATTCACGCCTTTACAAGAAATGTTTCCCTCTCAAGCCAATGAAAAATCTCGAAACCAGTCTCCTAAAACATTAAAATTATTATCATAAATAAAATTTAATTTTCAATGAAAAATCTCGAAACCAGTCTCCTAAAACATTAAAATTATTATCATAAATAAAATTTAATTTTTTTAATTTTATATTTAGTGGAGGTGTAAAATTAAAAGAATTAAAAAAAATTTAGAGGTAAATTATAAAAATGAAATAAATGCAAATTTATCCAATGAAAAAAAAAAATAAAAAAAATTTAGAGGTAAATTATAAAAATGAAATAAATGCAAATTTATCCAATGAAAAAAAAAAAGGAAATTATAATTAATGAAACGCTTTGTCGTTTGGTTTGGGTGTATCGTCGGAGCATTGGCCAATGTTATTCCCGCTAAAAGTCGCCCCCGGGCGTCTGCCACGTCATCGCATTTACGGAGCATTGGCCAATGTTATTCCCGCTAAAAGTCGCCCCCGGGCGTCTGCCACGTCATCGCATTTAAATATTGCACAAAATACTAAAATTCAAAAAAATAATATAAAATTTTCCACAGAAAAGAAAAAAAAAGAAAAAAAGAAAATTCAAATTGAATTAAAAATTTAAAATATCATCTTCTCAGTTCTCTCTATCTTTGTCCCTGCAGCTCTTCTTTGTCTTAAAGAAGACGAAACAATTTCTAACGCCTT